GTTGGCGAGAGGAGAGGTGGGCGTGGGTGTGGGCGGGGCGGGCTGCCGGGAGCTGGTACTCCGAGCGGGAGGCAGAGGCGCGGCGGGAGTGAGCGCCTGGGGCCCGGCCCGGTGGCCGGCGCGGCCTGCCCTTTGTGCCCGCAGCCCGCGCCCGCGCCCAGGGCCGCCGCGCCGGGGCTTCCCGGCCGCGCGCGCCCGCCCGCGCATCCACCCTCGCGCCTGGGATGCGCCGGGGATGCGCCCCCGCCGGCCCTGCGGCTCCTTGCGGCTGGGCGCGGGGCGATGGACGTGGGCATGAAGAAGTTCACCGTGCGCAGGTTCTTCTCGGTGTACCTGCGCAAGAAGTCGCGCTCCAAGAGCTCCAGCCTGGGCCGGCTCGAGGTAAATGCGGGGCCCGGGCCCCCGCCGCGCCCGGACCCCTCCCCCGTTGTCCCGTGGCCGGTTACCCCGGACCCGCGCGTGGGGCGCGAAGTTGCTCGAAAGCTGGTCCAGTGTTCCTGAACCGAACGCAGACGGCTCAAGCGTTGTCGTGGGGACTCCATGCCAGTGGCACGGACTGCGCTCCAGCCGGGTGAATTCCTGTCCGGCGCCCGTCTGCACCGCGAGCCCCGGGAGGAGGGAGGGGGGCCGGCGCGCGGACTGGGCACCTCCAAAGTCCCACGGAGGACAGCCGCCCGCCCTGCCCGCGCTGCCGTAGATCCGCTTTGTTTGAGCCCTGCCCAGGGGCAGGCGAGTCTGCCTTGCAGCGCAGACACGGAAGCGCGTGGAATCGGGGTAGAAGTGACCACGGGGGACAGGCGGGCGCGACCGCTCCGGCGGCGGCTGTGACCGGGCGCGCAGAGCTGGAGAGCCTGATGCAATATCCCTGCGGCCTCGGCCTCCGTACCGATGCGTCCTGAAAACCCAGAGGACGCTGAAAAATCGCGTCCTTCCTGCCTGTCCCTCGTCTTGTCACCTCTGGGTCAAAGCCGGCTGTGCATGGCTTCTTAATGGTGGCTTTTATTTCAACAACCACATCGCGCTCTCTGCATCCCACTGTCCAGATCATACCGTTGAGTCCATAGGTGGCAAACCAGGGACACACGTTTAAGTAAAGAAAGGGTGTTGTGATGGGGAGGCCGACACTACAACCTGGACATTTCATCTGACCTTGTCCTCCCCTTTGCTTCAGGGCTGGCACAAGCAGAGTTTGGGTTTTTTGTTTCATTTAGAACAATGTCACAAATTTCATCCTAGATTTCTTTTGTCCCATCTGCCATGGTATTAGACTCAGGCAAAGGGTTCCTTAACAATGAAGAGCTCCTTCAACCAAGCTCAGAGTCATAAAAGCGACAGGGAATTACTTGTTGCAAAAGTTTCTGTTTCAGTATCAGAAAATCAGAACTGGAAGTGCTGGGCAGAATCTCAGATGGTAAAACAATGGTTCTGGACAAATACTATCAATTCAGCCATAGAGGAGGGCTTGCTAAACCCAACAACAGAGAGAAATTAACCAGAAGGTGTTTTTCTGGGACTCAGGCACTGTGAAAATCTAAAGTCGACAACAAAACTTAGAACAGCCTTTCCTGTCATACAAGTATGTTTTATTTCCTATTTCATTGCAGTGCCAAGTTTATTGTGCAGCTCCTTGTCTCCTTCCATTTATTGTCACTGCTGGGGGAGGGGAACTGTATGAGCAAACTCCAGGTGTCCTTCAGGGCATGCCTGAAGGACCCTGGAATTGGAGGAGCCTGTGTGCCAGTGCACCCACCCTGGTATTAGGGTTCAAAAAAGAAAACTGGGCTGTAGGAGGGTCCTCAAAAATATGGTGGATGACAAAGTGGGGGTGGGGAAAATAAAATGTGTACAAAGCATCCACAAACCATCATCATATATCCAGAAGTCAAAGGGACTGGAAAGGAATGTATCCTATCGGCAAGTAATCAAAGCTCTCTTGCTATGTGCTGGAACCTAGATGGGTGCTGAGGAGAAGGGCTAATTGAGATGGTAACATTAATGCAGTGTTCTATTTTTTCACAAATGTGTTCACCACTTTTCTATCATTTGATCCTTGTGAAATCCAGATAGCACGTTCAACTATCCTTATTCTATTGCACAGGGAAACGAGCCCTGAGAAATTAAATCTTGTTAAAAGCTTGTGAACACATTCATTTTGCAAGTGTTTATTGAGAACCTGCCGTGGCTCAGGGCTGTTTCTGGGCAGTACAGATTCAAAATGATGGCAGACATGGAAGTTCTGGCCTTAGGGCACTTCCACCTGCTGGGGAATCTATTAAGTGACTGACTCTGTACTTCTGTCCAGTGAGTTCCATATTCCTTCCCAGCCACCTTCCCACAGTTTTTCCAGAGAAATTGCCCATTCGTTGTATATTGGCAGCTGGTTATAGGCCAAGAAGCACTCATCCAAAAATGTAAACTGTAGCAAGGGGGCTCTGTCAGTAGCGTGAGGTTGAGAAATAGGACCTAACGTGCTGACCACAGATGTGTACTTCCTCTGTTGGGACAAATGAAAGAGAGAACTCACTGCACAAAAAGAAACATCTTTTAATTGCTTCTATGAAAATCGTATTTTAGGAATACACACAGGGACTTTGAAAAATTTTGTTTTTGCATCTCAGAATCTAATAACATAATCAGGAAATAAACAGTAGTTACTTTAGGCTTGGAGCAGTGTAATGTCTATTAGAAAGTTGAGCACCTCTGTCCTGATGATTCTATACGTGCTTCTAAAATTAATTTTACTTCTAGGACCCAAATTTGATAATCCTGGTGCCATGGACACCAGTTTACTTAATCATTTTTGGAAACAGTTTATGAGTTTTAGCATAAGTTAAATTCACTTAAACATTTTTGTCACATATCAGCATTGACCCAAGTGAGATGGCCAGGTTATTTAGTCTGGCAAGAATGATTTCAGAGATTTCTGAAGGGACGCTGGGTACCTTGCATAGACTTCATGTGCTACCCAGTAAGGGTGTCAGGTCTTAGTACCTGTGGGAACCTCCCTCCCCCAGAATGCTCTGATTGCAGGGCGTTGGTTGCCTGGCCTAAGAACCACAGCCCTGAGCTGTGACCACTGCCTCATTTGGTGGTCTAGTTTATAGATGAGGAAGAGGGGCCCCAGAGGCCATGCTCCCATTCCTAAAATGTCCTGAAGGGCGTTCCTCACGGGGGAGCAGGTGCTGTCTGTTACTGATTTTAACCATTTCTGGCTGTATGGTTATTGGAGTTTGCCATGCACTCAATGAGGCATGAAAGAAGTCAATGTTATAATTTTTAAAAGGAAATTTTTCCATCAGATATTTTGGAATGTGCTGTATAACCCAAAATTTTTTGAGCAAACCTTTTCTGGAAGTCAGAAAATTCTAGTGAATTTGATCAGATGTACTTCATTAAATTTTCACTCTCCCCTTCCCTAGCAAGGCAATTAACCTCTTTAAGCCTCCTGTTTCTCCACTGAGAGAGAGAAATGATAACGGCTCCTCCCTCATAGGGGACTAATTGTGCCCACACATAAAGACTTACCTCAAAGTCTGAATGATCAATGGTCAACATTATCTGTTGATATTGGTAAGTCATTTTCCTGGGTTTATTGGTGTTTTTCATACTGTTCCATGTCTGCTGAGTCTGCATGAACCTGAGCTTGCCATGGCTTGTGTTACCCCAGGGGTGAACTCCTTGCCCTTCCTGCATGTGAAAGGGAAGATCCCTTCTCCCAGAATGTGTTCCAAGCTGCTCACAGGATGGGATGGGCCCCATTTGCTCAGGTGGAGTTACATCCTCTGGCTAGGATGGGCATATTCCCTTCCCTTATTGTGCATGTCTGTCTCCCAAGGTGGCTGCACTTATCCACAGATACATTACCCATGTGGGTCAACTTTCCCCAACCAGGGCAGCTTTTAGAGCAAGAAAATGCTCCAATGTCTATTTCTCAACTCAGAGAGCTTCGGTTCCCTGGGTAGGAAGGAACCCCCCACTCAGCTTTCTCATATAGAACCTCGGAAGCTGTGGCATGCAGGCTGCAGAGTCTGGTTTATTTCCTTCCAGAGGCAATGTAGGCTTTTCATTAATTAAAAAAATGCTGTTACTTTCTCAAGGCGAGATACTAGATAATTTGCTAAAGGTATTGATATGCAGTTTATTTAGAGTTATTTAGTTTGGGGTTATCAAAGCCAGAGGACTCTCTTTGATGATATATTATTTGGGCCGTTTCACTTGAAACTGACATGTCCACCAAAAGATAGCTGATGGTAGTTGGAGAGCACAAAATGGGATACTGGTGATGGTAAACTGTTGAGTGGGAGAATCGCACTTTGTTTATTTGCTTCATTGTTCATACAATCAACATTTTTAGCATAACCATGTGTACTGTGCTGAGCTAGTGTACTGTGCTAAGTGATTCCTGCCTCCAATGAGCTGAACGTCTAGCAGTAGAGGCAAGTGAGCCGGGAGAAGCGCGTTCTTGGGGTGAGTCCTGAGAAGTTCTTGACATCTCTGGACTTAAGTGGTCCAGTTAGATCAATCACCAGTTTGTTTCTTTTTCCATGGCTGTAGATAATCAAAACTGCATATGTTCACACGTGAAAATGTCTTAGTTGCTTATCCTTTTTTCCTAACAATGTAAGTGCTAAGTGAGGAACTGGAGCAATGTCGGAGCTCTGATGGCTCCAGCCATGCTCGTTCTTGGTGCTTGGTAGGTAGGTGAGTACTCCTTCTACAGCTTGGGTAGTTTCCAGAAGAACCACTTACAGTTAAAACAATTTTCAGGTACTCTCACTAAATGCACCCAAAGAAAGTCTGTTAGGCCTGGTTTATTGGAATTTTGATTAACCCTCCGCCCCTGAAAAAAAAGGGAAGACTACACATGATAGTCCATATTCGGGAATACCTAATTTGCTCTTTATCCATTAGTCTCCTGTATAGACACTAAAGTTAACTCCTTCTTGTGGTCTCTGTGTGTCCTATGCTTTATCTTTGCAGTTTCTCCCTTTATATTCAAGGAACTTCTCAAAGCGTTTTGCTTATTCAGAAATATGTGAATAGAACCAAAGTATTGAGATTTTACTCCTTTTTCTTTGGTCTCCATTACTTGTCCTTCCCATAAGACCACGTGCTGACCGGCTTCCAGCATTCACTCTACACAGCTGGCCATTGGGTCTGGGTTTTGTCTGTTTGTTTCGTTTTGTTGGCAGTACTGGAGTTTGAATTCAGTGTTTTTGCAGTTGTCAGGCAGGTGCCCTAACCCTGATCCATGCCTCTAACCCTTTTGGGCTCTGGCTGTTTTGGAGTTAGGGTCTTGCTTTTTGTCCAGGTGAGCCTGGCCATCATCCGTCTGTTTTATGCTTCCCACTGTAGCTGGGATGACAGGTGTGCACCACCAC